AAACTACAAATATATCATTTTCCCTCTTGATTAATTTCAGGTATGGCCCTACTGGTAGCAGAAGGCTGCACAGTCGTCATAGTAGTGTGAGAGCACCAGAAGATGCCCTCTTGGAAAGGTAAGAAAGAACTTGTGTTTCGGCTAGTTTCAGTACTGTTAGTATAATTGCTTAATCGCCTTGAATTTTCTAATYGTTTTAGAGAACGGCTTCTCAGGGAACTTCGAGAAACTGAAGATGCAAGCAGGCGGCAAGCGGAAGTGTTRGTAAAGGTAAAATAAAAGTGTTAGTAAAGAAAAATCCCGTCCCCTTCTTTTAAAACTGAAGCATCTATTTAGATTTTTTTTATGTTCAAGTTTTTCCAAGTCTTGATTTAAGAGTGTTTTAACTGACAGGGTCTTGATGCTGAAAGAGACGTACTACGAGAGAGTCAACGAATTGCCACTGCTAGAGAAGGAGAATTAGAATCTCTTAGAAGCCAGGTAAATACTGTCTTTCCCCGACATTGCATCGAATCTCTATGCCTTTGTATAAGTCACGCGGGGGAAAATACTTTTTTTGTAGTCTTGTCTTTTCTATAAGTCATACTTCGTTTAAGGAAACTTGAATTACAGTTGCAGGCCGCTCAAAAATCGCAACAAGAAGAGATAGAAAAACGTTTAAAGGAAATTCAGCAAGAGGTGAGTAAGTAAGAACTTGAAWCTGCCTAGATAAAATTACAGCGAATTCAAGCAGTTTTATCTGGACAGTGTTTGCCAAGCCTCAGATAACTACATGGCTCTGAAGTGCCATGAAAAAACGCTATTTTTTTCCTGTTATCCTTCTTTCGTTGCGCCACTTTGCCAAGGCATATAATAGCATTGCGGCCTCGTGTATTTCCACGTGACCGCACAATAAAAACGAGATTTCTACGGAAACGTACATTTATGTAGAATAGTAACGACGGAAAGAATTAAAATGCAACTTATTCCTCATGATATATATARATATATATAACGTTTTCGGCACATGCAGAAGAGGCAAAATGCGCAACAGAAGGCGCAACCAAAAGCACAAAAAAGGTGCAACAAAATGCCCTACTATGCGGAATGAAAGGCGCAACGAAGGGCGCAACGAAGGGCGCAACGAAGGGCGCAACGAAGGGCGCAACGAAGGGCGCAACGAAGGGCACAAAGGAAAAAGTTATATTTCTTCATGACACTTCAGAGCCACCGTATAAGTAATGTATTTTGATGTTTTTTTGTTGTTTTTTTTTCATAAGATGCGAACAGAGCGTGAAATGTGGGAATCGAAACAACGAGAAGTCGGTGAACTCACTAGTGAATTACGTAACGTGCGGGTAAGTCAGCTTCATGGCTCCAACTGGCTATTAAACAATACCATGACTTTCCGTACACGATTCTTATTCTTATTACACGATTCGATTTCTTAGGTACATGTAACTTTGCTAGGGTGCAATAAAACCCTACCGAGGGYTGAGCTAAAATACTGAGACGTTTTACAGGTAGATTTCTGTTATCCGTTTATCGTTATTCCTTTGATTCTTATTCAAGGCTCTTTTGGACACTGCATCAGACAAGAAAATAAAAGATGAAATACGATCAGTCGCCAGGTAATGTCTCCTCATTAAGGCATAGTTATWCTTCAGGGCCTGGTTGTACGAAGCCTGAATAGCGCTTTCCGATGGATAAATACTTATCCAGTACTATCAGTACTATTATCGATGCTGTAATCAAATAAATTTATCCCGTGGACGTCTGAATGGCGAGTTGTCTTGATCTCCTGATAATGGTTGGTATACACTTATTTCAAAAAATGTTGTTTGGATTGGACGATCTGAGACAAAATGTAATTTGTGTGCTTTTACTACTCTTCCCAGTAGACCGAGGTAGTTGTGATTTTTTAATCGCCTTCGTAGCGTCTGTTATGTTATCCGCGAGTACATTTCAAATCGACCACGTGATGCCAATGTTGTACCACGAGGACAAGGTTTTTGCACCACCTGATCAAAATTCGGTCAAGTTTTAATAAACTAGTTCGGTTTTTCTTTTACAGCGAACTAGAAGCGGAGAGACGTGAACTCCAAGAAACTAATCACGAGAAAAGAGTTCTTGCTGCTCGTGTAGATGATCTGGCCAGCAGGCTAGAACAATCTGAACGAGATCGCCGACAGGTAAACGTCTTTRTTATATTTGCGTCTTGACGAGTGGTTACAGAAAAGAAAAATTTCGTTTTGRCAAACGATGCATTGCGCGCAGAGCTCCTCTGCATTGCGCGCTTAGAATCAGAATCACCTGGAGAGCTGTGAACTAACAATAGGCCGTTTGCATAATGGCGTCATTTTACTTCCACTACCAAAATGTTTCGCGAATTTTCTTTCTTATTCAAATTTCGTATTGCCTCWAGAGAATAGTAAAGGCGCGATTACGCTGAGCAATTTTCTCTGCATGGAACATTGCAGCGTGTAACCTACAGCGCAATTTTAAAAAATGTTGCGAGACAAGTTGCAGCAATTCAGTTGCGAAAAGTAGAATTCGTTTCTACTTTTGACGACGATTGCGTTCCYGTTGCACCGTGTAGACACTCTTGCAACTTGTGTCTCAACGCCTTTGCAAGACAAGTTGCAGAGAAAATTGCTCCGTCTAAACGCTTAAGACGATTGATGCTGATTAACTGAACGAAAGAAACTGTGCAACGGAGCCTGGTATTGGTATTAAATGAYGCTATAATGCAAGTTATTTATTCTTGCGCATTATATCAGATGATTGCATGTTGCTTGTGTGATTAGTTCATGGGTAACTAATGTAAATATTTCTTCTGGTTCCATTCAGGTTCTTGCTGAATTGGATGTCGCGGTAAAGAAGCTCGATCARTCTGAAGGAGGGAAAACCGTCCTCTCGCAACAGGTATTCTTCTGTTCCTTCTTTWTACTATCTTCCTATTCATAYAAAARTCAACCKCGATCTATCSCGTGATCGGTTGCCTTGTAATTRGGTCCTAGACCTGTAAAGCTTTCTCCACCTCAGAGTGGTAAAGTTGGATTAGAAAAATACCTTTTCCTACTAGAAAAGAAAAGTAGTCATCAAATAAACTCGCCAAGAAAACTGGAAAACCCGGGGAGAAAACCAACAAGTAAAGATACTACTCACTTGTGATGGCGGGCCTGAGGGTCGAACCCGTGACACAAAAATGTGAGGTAGCGCGGCATTTGCAGCGCACACCGTTTGTGATTCRAGATCGTTGGTCTGGTGAATCCTAGAAGAATGTATTTTGATTTTTTGAGAAATAATTTCTTTTACCTAGGCGGAGGAGACAAGGAAGCGGTTCACCCAAGCCGAGGCAGAAAAAAACGATCTCGCAAATAAACTCCAAGAATACCAAACAAAGCTACAAGATAACGAAACGACAAGAAGAAGACTCGAGTCCAGGTTAGAGGCACTTGGAAGAGAAGTCAATGAAGGACAACAAGATAGAGAAAGGCTACTYGAACAACTAGATGTACTTCGTAATCAGGTATGAGAATACTTCGAGAAACTACGACTCAGCGATGAAGAATCTCATTCCAGAAAATTAGAGTGCGTGCAAAAAAAAGGATTTAAAAAAACTGTTTTTTTTAGGTATTGCAAGGCGAGAGAGAAAAAGAAGACATCGTCAAACAAATTTCTATGGCAACTCGAGGAACAACTCCACGTCGACAATCATTCGGGCCGGCGCTCGGTGGTTCAAGACGAAGCATGGTAAATGGTTCGGGTGATGTGAGTCAGCTCCGACAAAATRTCGATCGACTGGAGCGTGATTTGAACACCAGTCGGGTTGGCTTCGGGGATTCCGAGGGGAGAAGAGGATTCGGACGCGGGGATTTTCAGAGAGAAGATATCAATCAAACTCTAGACCAGTTACGGGAAGACATGGATATTAAAGATGAACAGCAAGAACGGTTAATTGTACAGATGAAGGATTTGTTAGATAAATATGAACAGAGTGAAGCAGAGAAAAGACGTTTTGCTGATGAACTTGACAACACAAACAAGAATCTCAAGCAAAGAAGCACAGAAATACAGAAACTAAACGAAGAACTTGAAAACAAGGAAAATATGTTGAAGGAGAGCGAGAAGAAGAGGAATGAACTGAAAACAAAGGCTCTTAATTCACTGAAAGAGTAAGTCAATAATAGAGGGAGTGTCGAGTGAGGCCGAGTATCGACGTGGACTATGATTCCTTGCAAGGAGGAGAGGGCACGTGGCATAGTGGTAAAGCACTCGCCTCTCCTCTCTGGGGTTCTCTCTCGGTTTGATTCCTGGACTCGGCATCTCATGTGTTTTTAGAGCTGAAGGATTTCCGCGGATCTCGGGTTTCCTTACACTTCTACGGTATCGTATGGAACCCGTTACTGACGTATCCCCTTCCCCACCATCCCCTCCCTAAGTAACTTTCTGTTTTGTGTTTAGCTATCGAAGTAAATGCAAGAGACTTGAGCGAGAAGCAGACCAAGGAAAAGAAGCAATGGTTAGTGTTGCAATGATTCATCTTTTTCCCGTTTTTGTTTTTTATTTGTTTGTTTGTTGTTTTTTGTTTGTTTGTTTGTTTGTTGTTTTATTTTATTTTATTTTTTTTAATGTTATTATATTTGCAACTATCTATTTCGGACTTCCAGTTATAAAATGAGAGACGGGTACATCCATGAAATTCATRGATTTTCACCTACGAAACCTTTGAGGCGATGCCACACCAGGCGCAARTCGTGATCTTGTTCTCCTAGTTCGCCTTGTTTAGGGACTGTTCAACGCGTGAGCTTTCGTTTTTAACTTAGCGGCACAAAGCGCATGCCCTTAGAGCCTAAAGGACGATTTGTAACGGAACCACATAAAAAAAATTTAAAATTTTTTACCTCGGGTAACCACAGGAAGCCCAAGTAATAATGCACAAAATTGAAAGTACTGATGCCATCCAATCCGGCACAATTCACAAAAGCGAATCAAAAACGAAATCCTCTGGTCTGCCGCTAGTCTCAGTGGTCAAAGTGTTTGATTGGTTGAAAAGTAACACGTGATGGTGACATGATTGGCTCAAGGCAACTATGCAATGCTCGTATGTATTATTAAGCTGAATCGTTTGAAAGCTTTTATTTAAAAAATCTMTTTGCTATTTTAAACCAGGCGCGTAGTGAAAGACTAGAAAAAGAAATGCGAGAATTGAGATCCGCTAACAATAGTTCTACTGGAGGTGAGTATCTTCTTTTTTGTACTTTTTACGGTCTTTTTTCCTTCCATCCTTTCTTTTTCTTTTTTTATTAGTCTCAATGACAACTTTGAGCATTAGTAATATATATTTATTCGACTTATCTTTAACGAGTCCAAGATCACGTTACTTCACTTTTCCCTTTCTATCAGCACCGTCGTTTAGTACTTCAAGAAGAGACATAGATGACTTAATGGTAAGTTATCTTGCTGCTCACAAGAACACCCAGCAACTGAATCTCGACAGTTTCTAGTTGGTGTACTCATTCACGGCGTTATAYAAGGGCATCGTAGATCTTTTCTTAGAGAGTGAGCTTGGTGCTTYGTGGTGTAGCTYGGGTRTAAGCATTTTTTGGYCATCATGCAATATTTTASTCTCMCACGGCAGCAGYCGCTATTAGTGTCGTCACGCAACGCTCATTCCYCTAAGTGAGCGTTGCKTGACGACGCWWAYAGCGGCTGCGTAGTAGACTAGCATTATATATGTTGTTTATATYGWACCTAGACCGGAWTGCATCATATTCATTGAATTCATATSACGMGTAACTTCTATCACTAGTCATGAGGATTGAGCATAGAATTTTTGATGTTTAAATCACTAGGATCAACGACAAAGACTAAATGAYGAACTTGCCCTGAAAAATGCTGAGGTGAGAATGAATGACGTTTGATGAGTAACGTTGCTGTCCATTGCTTGCAGTAGTTAGATAAAACTATCGATATCTTGTTGCCAGATTCGTGAACTTCAAGCWGTCAGGTACAACGGTGAAAGAGATATGTCAGATTTGAGAAAGCAACTCGAKAAGGTACAGMACCAYTRGCCGTCTATTTAACGTTAMTTTATTTAGATTAATTCAATAATTTTTCACTCTTTGATCCTTAGCTTGAAGCGGAGCTTCGGACGCATGAGGCACAGGCATCATTAGCACACATGGAAAAATTAAAGCTAGAAGAGGTAAAAAATTTCCTTCCTTCCTTCCTTCCTTCCTTCCTTCCTTCCTTCCTTCCTTCCTTCCTTCCTTCCTTCCTTTCTTCCTTCCATCCTTGTATCCATCCTTGTATTCATCCCTCCCTTCTGTTAGTTCATTGTTTCTTTCCTCTATCCACCCACCCATCCTTCCTTCCTTCATTATCATCTTGATTCACTTTCTTCATTCAGGCTCTYCAGACTGCACAACGAGAAAAAGAACAGGAAGCTAAAAAATTCGAGGCACGTTCACTTCGTATTCTGAATTTTTTTATCAGTTCGTTTAGAGAGGGTTTTTGAATCTTACTTTCTGTCGTTCACAGAGGAAACAAGAGGAAAATCAGAGTGACCTGGAATCAATGTTAGCTGAACAAAAGGTTTGTAGTTTAAAAAGGCTTATTYATACGAATATAGATAAAATAAATCACTTACTATGTTTAAACTCGCATCGAGCTGCATTGCCATAGCAACCTTCAGTCTTCTTGATGAAARTGAGGTGTCACGTGGTACATGTGCATCACGTGAAATGCCTTGAAGCGCAAGGAAAAGAGCGAAAATTTCGGTTGAAGCTTGTTTTATTTTATGTTCACTTGATTAAATCTGGGTTTTTTTAACAGAAAGAAATCAAAGACCTGCGAACCAAGAATGCGAGATTAATGGCCAAAGTACAGCAGGAAATCGCCGAAAGACAGGTTTGAAAAAAAATATTTTAAAGTAAAAAGTATTTTAGTTAAAAACACATACACACTTTTTTACATAAAACTTTTAATGAAATATGAATCGATCAAGAGAAGAATTTAGTGCTCTCTTTCTTCCCATTCAATGCGTTCAACATAGTACTGTTTTTTTATTTTTCAAGGTTGTGGAAGAACGATTCCTTGAGTTGAGGGAACAAGAGAGAAGAACAAAAGATGAGAACGCGTCKATATTCGCGCAGCTGCAACAGGTTAGACTCTTTTCTCTGCTATCACCACTTCCATCTCACGTACCCAAGGGCTTCGCTCTTTTTCTTTCTCCCGCTATGGAAGACCGGATGGCGTAGTGATACGTACGGCGCTTGCGTTGTAGGCCCGGTTCAAAAATCGCTTGCTCGGTTGCTTGGAACCAGAACTTTATGTAACATCTGCAATCCACGTAAAGAGGACCCTCAATCTGCTCTAGCTGCAAATCAAGTTGCTTGCGTAGTTGCGAATTTAGAAGCACGGATGGCGTAGCGGTGAAAGTGCTTGCCTCTCATCAATGCGACCCGTGTTCTAGTGCCGCTGGGTTCGGTGTTGTATGTAAGTAGAGTTGTTTGTCGGTGAGAGTTGGTGCTTCAAGGGTACCCCACCCGTGCTTCCTTTGCAATCAATATGTTTTTAATGCTATTTGCTCAGAAAATGTATTTGATTTTTTTTGTCTTGTTATTGCAGGAAAGAGATGAGCACACAGTGGCGTTGAGAGAGTTACAAGAACAAATACAATCCCTTGCTGTAAGTACAACATCCTTCCCTTGATATCAATGACCCTTGCTACCCGCAAACTCTGGGTCAGTCGACCTGAAGTATCAGTAGAACGGAGTTTGTGATGGATAAAATAACGTCAAAGAAAGAGTACGTTATGCTTAAAATTGTGTATCGTTCTACATGTCAACATTGTTCTTTGCTTGGCTTTTTACTATTTCTTTATCATTTGTCCAATCACAAGCTTTGTTCTACCGGAAGTACGTTGTACTCAACATCGAATTGGCTTCCCATTGCTATGTTCAATGCAAATCAAAACATATATCGACGATATTTTGGGTATTTTCAGGCCAGTCACGAGAAGGCTTTACAGGAAACTAAAATGCAGTATGGCAAGGAAAAAGACATGTTTGAGAATCAGTTAGCCGACATGAAGGTAAAAAAATCAGCAATAAACATAACCAAATATAATACATAGGAATTATCCCCTTAACACTGCTGGCTGCACGTAATGGACCAAATCTATTTGGGCGTAATGTTTTGCMCATTTCAGACCACGTGTTATTGAGAATAAGATTTTTGTTTGAGTCTTTTAATGTGTCCTCTCATGTGCAACCGTTCAGGAATAACACTTGGTTTGCAATGGGAAAACAGTGGATTAGGCCTATTAAAAACTGTTCCAACAAAGGACGTATACTGTAAATCTAGCACAATTCAGCTTCTATTTTCATCTAAATAGCGTCGGCCTTCTTTCCTTCCCTTTCTATTTTTCTATGTCTTGTTTTATCTTTCGCAGCTGCAATTGGCAGACGAAACGTCCACMATCAAAGCATTAAGAAACAGACAAGAGAAAGACCGCGAACAGATAGAACGTTTGACACAAGACCTGAACACGTGAGTACATGGAAGATATGACCTGTGTTACACTGATGAGTCGATCATGATCAATGTTATAGGAAC